GTCGTTTTTTAATACGGGAACTATAGGAGTTGCGTATTGTGAACGATCGATGGATACCAGAACACCTGATTCTACTAATCGCTTAAGTTCGTGTTCGACTTTATCCTTTAAGGCGAAAGGTACAGTCCGTGCCTTAAAAAACTTGGGTATTAAATTTTCTTTAAGTTGCAATTTTATCTTAAATCTATTAAAAGTACCCAATTCACCGCGCCACAAGTCTGGATACTTACCTAATAGAGTCCCTAGTTCTGTATCATGGTTAAAATACTTTAAATCACAGGTTATAACCAGATGAAAGGCGGACATAAAATCTCTACCCAGTATAGGTGGACCTCCATTTTTGACAACAAAAATTTTCAAAACCTTTTTAATTCTGTTAAATGATACTACAGCATTGAAATATCCCAAGAGGCTAATCCCATCCTCATCGCCAGTGAGATAAATAACTACAATAAAACACTTTTCCCAGATGACAGCTCGTTTTATTATTATTGGTTGCTAACGCAACCAGTGTGGACATCACACTAGTGTATTTTTAACGCCGGCGCACAGTGTTTCGCGTTGTATGGGGAGGTTGGTAATAATTATTTATGAAAATTTTTTAACAAATTTGGAGATATTTAATTTGTTTTTATAATATGTGTAAATAAGTCACTAAATTATTGTATTAACAAAAATATAATAATTATGCACATACGCCAAGCAATAAAAATGCACTTTTACGGTTTTTGGGCTACATAAGCATGGGCGCCAGAACAGGACACACAAAATTTAAATGACGTCTAAAAGAATACATCCTCAGCTACATTTTTGCAGAACATACTATGGGGTAGAAATGCATAGAAAAAAAATTACAATGCTTGCAAAAGGGTATTTGTAAGATCACATGAAAATCAACGGTTTTTGGGCTATGTTAGTATGGGCGCCGAAAAAGGACACGCATAATTTAAATGACATCTAAAAGAACACACCCTCAGCTATATTTCTGTAGTACATACTATGGGGTAGAAATGCACAGAAAAAAAATTAAAATGCTTACAAGATCTAAATGAGCACCTACGGTTTTTTGGCTAAGTCAGTATGGGCGCCGGAAAAAGGCGGAATATTTTTTAATGAAATCTAGAAGAACACATTCTAAGTTATATTTCGGTAGTACAAACTATGGGGTAGGACATAAACTAAAATGCTTGTTTACAACAAGATTGTGCCAAGGCACCTATCACAAGTTTCGATACTCTGTGAAAACGTAACATATACACAAAAACATAATTTTTGGATTTAAATATAATACATGTCATGACGAAATAATAGCTATCAAGGTTTACTACATAATTAACTTTTTTAGTGGAATAATACTCTGTTTAAAGTTATCATATTTTCTCGACCAAACCGATGTTCAATAATGACTACTTTTACTACGACTATTATGACTAAACCATACATTGAATGTTATTTTTATTTACAAATCTACATGTGCTATATATAGAGCTATCCTTTAATATTTTTAAAAGTTTACAATACTTTAATTTCGTATTTGGCATTTTGGCCAACCTCTCCTTACAACGCGAAACACTGTGCGGCGTCCAGAAACACGCTGTTTATTAATAGTTCCTAAACTAGTAATAATAAAATATTGCCTATGTTACTCACAGATAAATTACCTTTCTGAAGGGGAAAGAATTTTTAAAATCGGCCCAGTAGTTTTTGAGTTATTTCAATACATACAAAAATACAAAGTTTTCCTCTTTATAATATTAGTATAGATAAATAAATTAATACACAACAAGCTTTAATATAAGGGATAACATTGTTCAAGGCAAACAGAACCCTGGTTTATAACAAAATTAAATGAATCAGATGTTACACATAAGACTTTCGAAATTGTGACGTTTTTGAATGATGTATTGTCTAGCTTTTGATCGCGACTTCGATCATTAAGAACTCTTGTCTTTCATACGTATATTTTCCGTGTACATAAACTGTAAATGATGCTACTCACCAATATTTCTGGTTTTTCTTAAGTCAACAATGTCAGTGACATCTTCAGCACAATAGTACATTAACCGTCTTTCAGTTAATAGCAGCCATGCTGCTAGCCATTCGCCAGTAGCGCTCGCCTAATAATGAAGACACAATATTAATAACCTAATGGTTATTGTGCGACAACCTTAACAGATAAATATATACTTTCGCGGACTTTAATTTAGCTAATTGAATGAGCTACAATTCTTTCATACATCATTTTTATGTAGGTCTTTTCTGCGATTCATAATTTGCTTTTAATGATATCTCGTAAACTATTGATCGGAATTATATAGCTCCAAGGGCATTAGTAATGTGCATTAAATTCTCATTCATTTCGATTCATTCGATTCATACCGATCATGATTAATAGCGTTGAGAGTTGGGTATAGATTTCGATCGATATTTTAATGAAAAAAAGTGGTTATTGTGCGACAACCTTAATAGATAGGAATATGCTATCGCAGACTTTAATTTAGCAAATTTAAAGGGCTACAATTTTTTCAATATATCATTTTTATGTAAGTTTTATAGTAGTGTAGTAGTAGTTTTTTTATGCTACGTAAGCTAAGAAAGCAAAAATGACCCCAAATTTCGTCACGCGATTTTGAGCTAAACTATTTAACTACATCGTAGTCTTTGACTCCAAAAATGAAACAAAAATATGGGAGCCACCTGCAAGCACTACCTTTCGGATAAAAAAAGAATTATCAGAATCAGTGCACTAGCGGCGGAGTTATGCCGTAACACACATAAAAAAAATAAAAAAAAAATAAAAAATCATACAAGACGAATTGAGTACCTCCTTTCGGGAAGTCGGTCTAAAAAGAAACAAACAAAACCTATACATCCCCAGGGATGAATCACATAATATGTTTTACTCCAGACTTTGTTTCATATTTGTGCCAAATTTGCTGTGTAACTTATGTTTTCTCCCAGACTATACTCTTCTTCTGCACCAAATTTAATTGAAATCCTTTTAGGCATTTAGTCTACAAACACTAACAAACATCCTTCTATTCAAATATTCACATTTATAATAATACTAGCTGTTCCCATAGGATTTCATCCGCATGAAATAATGAAAATTTTATTTTATTATTTACATTGGCAAATTACAAATGTCAAAATGACATAACATGATGACAAACTTGCTTCCTTGATGTTGGCAGCAACTAGTGGTCTTTTTCCCACATTAGGGTTTTTATCCAAAATATTTACCTCCTATATTTAATGGCGTTAAAATATATAGTTTTAAGCGTGACACAAGTGTGGGGCTTTTTATTAAAAAAGTATTATTCAAAAATATGCTGTAATTGCTGACATCTTAGGCAACAAAGAAGTGTGTGTTTACGCTTTATTATAATAGTATAAATAAGAAGATTAGTTAATATCTGTTGACAAGGGAGTGTCCATTGCACTTTAAAATAATATGAATCCACCAACCTTTAGATAGCACCATCCAAGCCGTGTATATTCTATGTCTTTGTCATAAGGAAATGTGGATGTCAGATTTTTAGCAATATTTTGAGTCCAAGTTAATCTGTCAGCAGAGGTTGGGCAACCAAATGTTATTTTTAATGTTGAACTTTGTTTCACACTGCAAGATCCCGGGTTTGATATGCCCACTTCGAAGCAATATAAGTAATTTTTCCTGCAAAGACACATAAAAATAATCCTTCAATGCTTACTGGATAAATGTTTTTTTTAGTTAACAAAAAATTAATAATTGATATTTAATCATAAATTCAACAACATATGTGTATTTTGAGAAGTGCAGTATTTCAAAAGTATCTAGAATTGTTTTTAATATACAATTCACAGTATAAATGAAAAAACTCACCAATCGAATTCCTTCACAGTGTGTACTGATGTCACATTATCTAGATTATAGACCTCCTTAAGAATTTTTCTAGAGGAGTCAGTATAACAAATCAACTTTTTCTCAGTCAAAACACAAAATAATGATTTTAAAGTATAAATCAAATTATCATCAAAAACCCATGTCAAATTGCCATCGTAATAGGGACCGTGAGCATTAATATTGGGTTTTTTTAAAAGTATCACATTGGGTTGTGAGTGTACACTAAACATATTTGATGGCGGAGTTGGCTCACTTATCTGAATTTCACTGTCCTGGCTCAAACTAACAATCTCGATAACGCTATCCTCAGGAGTGGATCTTACTGATGCACTATCTACAATAATGGTTTCAGACGTGGTACTGTCCGATTCGCTGCTCGGTATAATGCATTCCATATTTTGTGTAAACTGGTTTCTTAGACATTCTGTCTTTGATGTTTGCCATACTAAATTTGAGTTGATATCAGGTCCATCCTCTTCAAATTGTAAAGAATAAGGTTTTTCATCATCAGAATCATCAGATGAGTCAATAATTACTGCATCCATAATCTCGCTGTTACTTTGATTATTATATTTTCCGTTGGGCTTTCTAGTATCCAGTGGATCAAATTCACTGATAGTAAAGTTATTACTATTCATTTCTGGTTTTATGGCCCAATCTTGTGAATGTGATGGTGAGCTATCTGAAGATATGTTGAAAATAGGTAAATCATTGTTGTGATCATCATCGTTATTATTTTTCACTGCACTAGTTATGGTGGAATTTGCATTTATTACTTCTGCATGTTTTGATGACAGATTACTATCCATCTCTGTGGTTATTGTGTGAGGTACATGTGGATCTGCTTTTTTATTTTTGTGTTTTAACATAGATTTTGTCGATAATCTTCCAGTAATTACTCGTTTATTTTTTTTAGATCTTGACAATGTAAAACGAGACAATGATGCTAGTTTTTCTTGAGAATCGGGAACATTAATTGGTTTTTCCGAAGATGAGTCCATCTTGCGACTGAATTAAATACCTGAAAACAATTTTGGCATTAAAATAGAAAAAAACAAGCCTATTTGTCACTAACAATGAAGCAATAAAATTATTTATTTTCAAATTGTCCTTTTATTAAGTACATTTTTTGTTAAATAACAGAAAAGGGACAAGCACTGTTGCTATGGCCTTAGACACTTATAATATATCCAAACATTCATTCCATTTCGGAAATCCATTAATCCGAGCATGCAAGACTTTTTCTCTGGATTGCGTATAGGATAATAGCAGAGATTTTCTTTTCCCATTACTTTTTACATTATTTGTAATTTTGAAGATAAATGCTTGTGACAGTTGACACTACCGAACTGCCACTAACTATAACTGCCCAAATTTGGATGGTTATAGTTAGTGGCAGTTCATCAAATATGACGTCATTTTGACCAGCGTAGAACTGGTGCAGCGAATATCATGAACATCCGTAGACGTAACCACCAGGAATGCACTGGTTAAGGTTTATAGTTAGTTAATGTAAAACACCATTAGTACATTTTAAGATCATTCCAAATACAGTTGAACCTCGATAACTCAAACATCGGTAACTTAAAAACCTCTACTTCAAAAACTAATATGTTCCCTTCCCATCAGAGCCCAAAACCTCTACAACATAGACCCTTGATAACTTAATACCTCTATAACTATTTTGTGTTTCCCTTGGACTTTAACTTATCAAGGTTCTACTGTATTACTGTTACAAATAATTTTAACTTTAACGATAAACGGCGATATGGTGAAACTTACCCTGTTGTCAATACAGCCCATTCACGTTACTTTATATATAATAACAATATATCTTTTGATTTCTAGTAACTTAGACATAAAGTAAGTTAAATACTAACGATTAATAAGATAATCTACAGGAATATTGAAAAAGTTACAAAAATGAGAATGCTTAGCGCAGCCACGAACAAAATGACAAGAAGAAAGGCGCCAAAATGTCAAATGACCACCAAAGAGTAGTGTTTGCTGAAGAGTATATAAAATGTTGTTTCCTTTATAAATGTTCAGTTATGCGTGAAAATTTAAAATTTAAGAAAAAAACAGGTATGTTTAGGAGGTTTTACTTTGTGTATTTATAACAAACTGAGTACTTTTGAAATTCCTTAGTAGGAAAAAACTTTTTTTTAGCATTGTCGTTGCTAAGTAAAAAATTAAAATTTAAACTTTACTGACATTTTTGTAATATTTTTAATTGTTTTTGCGCTTTGTATTTAATATTTCCATTTAATTTAGAAAATTCTATGTTATAAAATACAAATTGTAGTTAGTAAAAAAAAGTTATCGATTTACTTGCTATATATTCCAAATATGTGAGAAAATTATTAAAATACCCGCCATTACATTTTTTTTCAATTTAAAACATTGTTTATGTATGAAGTTAATCTTAAAACTCCTATGATATAAAAAAAACAACAAAGACCGTAGGTCGCTATTGCGCATGCCCTAAGCGACCTATCCAGGACCATAGAATTGATATATTTGTTTCGAGATCTAATGGAGCCTCGAGGGAGGTATTTCTCTTACTATTATTCCGTGCAAGCAGCAACCTACTATCATCAGCCACTTTTTTCTGCAGGTGTAAGTATTAAAAATTTTAAGAAATCAACTATAATCTACTTTTCATTTCCAAAGTAAAAAAGATCCGTTGCGAGTCTTTAGTAATTAAAATATGGATATTCCGAATGCAAATTATGTACCGTGAGCATAATTGAAAATATTGTTTAAATTTATGATATGCTTAAAAGGCTCGTCTTAGACTTTGTTTATAAACGGTTTGTTACGATTTATAATGACATTTTATCTTGGCGCACTTATTGCTTCCAAATTGACACTGCAATGACGATACGATAAAAGTGATACATAATTAGTTCAATATAAAATTAGAATTACCGTCTAGTGCTTGTTATTATCAAATGCTTATTGCTACCTAATTGTAAGGTAGAGCCAAATTAACAGCTCAGCTCGCTGCTGCACTGGCTCATTGTTAAAAGGTTTAATGCAGGTCAATAATTCTGGCGTCGCAGATTTGAATCATCGACTCGTCTAGATCAGATTCCTTCGGCGGGCGGGATCATGTATGTTCGTACCATTTTGAACGTAAGGAATTGCTGTTTTTAATAGTATTATATGGTTCTAGTGAGATGTTTTATGTTTCAGATGCAAGCGGTGAATTTTGTGCCGATGTCGCAACCGCCGCCGCCGCCTCCGCCGCCGCCGCCGCCGCCCTCGCAGGCTATCGACGACTATGGCATTAAAGATGTTTGGAATTACAATCTTCATGAAGAATTTCATGTTATTAGACAGGTAAGTTATTAGTAATTATCTATTGTAGTAAAACAAGAAACAAATTGATAATGCAATTGTAAAATACATATTGTAAATGTTCTGTTTAGAATGGTTAGGTTCTTTATGACATTAATTAAAATAGTTGGAAGTAGTAAGAATGAAGAAGATCACTTTGTGTTAATGTGATTTGTGGATGTCTAACAGTGATGGTAGTAGACAACCAGTGGGTTGGAGATAGAACATTAAACATTATATTATTGTTAGATATGAAGATCACTAACCACTATTAGTACACAAGGCTGAACGACACTTTTAATATGTATGCAGCATTTAAAAGTCATTATGAGATAAAAATATATTTGTCCCAAATTTAATTTACCAATTCTGTAGGTTTTAGGTTAAAGTGAAATTCTATGAACACACAGATGACTACAATATAATCTATTTGCATTTTTCTTTAATCATTTAATTACAAATGGTCACGATTATTAAATTATTTACATTTCATAATGCTCTGAGTTATTTAAAACTTGGTGGCAGTGATTTTTCATTAAAATTTTGTGAATATTCAAACATTTTTGACAAATGCTCTAAGTAATATCTCATTGGACATTTTAGATATTGTAAAGAATTCACAACTTCTTTGTTACACTTTGCTATGCCATGAAACAGTTATGATTGATTCAATTGAAGACTGGTGACTGAGTTGGCCACATAATTCTCCAGTGTTATCCCGCTCCATCTATTCTTTGTTGACATTGTGAAGATAATCATTGTGGAGTATCAGTGAATGTTGGTGCAAATACTTAGTACAAATATGTGGACAAAAAATGTAAGAAAACAAACAGCTGGATTAAAGATACAATGTTTTGAATGAAACTTATGGACATTCACACTAACAAGTGCAGTATTTGCAAAACAAATTTAAATTTGATGGACTATGGTGCAGTCTATGCAATCAGATCGGCCCTGAATTGATTTAAGGCTATCAACCTCACCACTGGATACCTTCAGTCTCCGTTCAACCAAATCTTAAATAATTCTAGGGAAACTCATTGCACATTTGCATGGTGTACCTAGATATTGTTTTTACGAGTCCTACATATTAAAATATTGGACCTATACTTGCAATATCATATCAATTAACACTGAAGTGTCCAACTACCAAAGATAGGTTGTTTCTTCAGTATACCATCTTGCTTGGCATCACTCCTCCCATCAAAAGTACCATTAGGTAATGGTTTATGAGGGTTTAATTAGTAATGGCCATGATTTAATGGGAAAATCTTCAAAATCAGCTTTTTCAAAGTGTCACCCACAAAGTAATGCTTTTCGTAGTTAACTGTTATCTCATTTTGTATTGTTTATAAACAAAACAGAGATTAAAATGTATTTTAAAGACTACAAACATTAAATTGTACAAAGATAAAAAACAAGTTTATATTATTTTTATTGATTTAGTACTGACATTGTTATGGTTACTGATTGTAATAAAATTTCGTTGGATGCCCCTAAGAAAAAATTCGTATCTATTTAATAATAAATGTTTTGTTGTAATTTTGGTTATTGATAACTGGCTTAATGGTGTATGGCTCGGATTGAGCCGGGAGGTAAAGTCTAACACTTGATGTAAAATGAAATTTACATAACAATATGACTTTTTATATCAGAAATGTGATATAAAAAGTCACAACATATTATTGATGTATTAAGTATATTGCAGATTGTGCAGAAGTATCATTGGGTGGCCATGGATACTGAGTTTCCAGGGGTAGTGGCAAGACCTATTGGTGAATTTCGATCAACTGCAGATTACCAATATCAATTATTAAGGTAAGCTTATAATTATTCTTAACTAGTTATAAAGAAAAGATCATTTTAATAGTATTTAAAACTGACTTGACTATTTTAGTATTTGTATTGGACAAATTTCTTTGCAGGTGCAATGTGGATTTACTGAGGATTATCCAACTTGGGCTCACATTCATGGATGAAACTGGCAAAACTCCAACTGGATATACAACTTGGCAGTTTAATTTTAAATTTAGCTTACAGTAAGTTGAAACATTTGTATTGGTGTTTGATTTGTTTGTTTTATTTTCTACTAGCTTTCGCCCGCCACTCTGTCCGCGCGGAATTAAAAAAAAAAACAAAAGTAAGTAGCCTATGTGTTCTTCTAGACTATCCTCTATCTAGATGCCAAATTTCATCGAGATCCACTCAGCAGTTTAGCCGTTTAGGCTACAAACTCTAACAAACATCCATCCATCCATCTAAACTTTCACATTTATAATATTAGTAAGATAATTGCAGACTAATATTCCAACAATGTGTTAATTATTGTTTGCAGGGAGGATATGTACGCTCAGGATTCCATTGATTTACTGCAAAATTCCGGTTTGCAATTTCGTAAACATGAAGAAGAAGGAATTGATCCCTTTGAGTTTGCAGAACTGATTATGACCTCAGGTTTGACATTTGTTTATATACATGCAACAATGAAAGTAAATATTTTGGAAGTTGATAATTGTAATCTTTCAGAACAGTATTTATCTGTTTATTTCAAATTATTAGCAAACATATGAACATATTAGTGTCAATCATTTATTTTTGCTTCTATACAAGGTAAATGTTGTAATTTCTGATAATGTTTTTAAATCTTGTAAAATATTAATAACTGCCATTGCAAATTTATAAGAATTGAAACTTTTATATTTGATTAAGTGTGGAAGTATCATTATATTAGTAATTTTAGATTTGATGATGAAGATGTGTCTGTAATAGCAAAAATAATTTCATTCTAGGATTGGTGTTAATGGATAACATCAAATGGCTAAGTTTCCATTCGGGATACGATTTTGGCTACTTGTTGAAGCTTTTGACTGATCAAAACTTGCCAGCGGAAGAAAATGAGTTTTTCCAAACTCTGCACATGTATTTTCCCACCATATATGATGTGAAAGTAAGTAGAATACTTTTATTTGTGTTAAGGGAAAGAAAAATTGTTTATTAACAACTTGTAGTTGTAAACAGTGTAAACTGACTTATAGTTTATAATATAAGGTGGCAAACTCGCAAGCGGCCACCTGAATCCATTGAAATGGAAAGCGACCGCAGCCCATAAACATCCGCAATTGCAGATGCGTTGTCTGCCCTTCATCAACGGAGGAGGAGACGCACATAGAGAGGACATTTTCCCTTCCTATGTGTCTCCTCCACCGTCAAATCCACTTTTCCAAAGGGAAAGGGACCAAAATGAAGCCTCCAGCACCACACTCATCAGACTGTACGCGAAATAGCTTCCTCTTCACGCCTGTTTTCTGTGCGGTTGTGGTATTACACCAGGGGTGCCGGCCCTGCAGTGTGAACATGTTAAAGTGGGTTCTACCACTGTAAAACTAATAATTTGTTATTCTGCCATTGTTAATGTTTTTTATTTTCAATATTCCAGTACTTAATGAAGTTGTGCAAGAATCTGAAAGGCGGCTTGCAGGAAGTCGCAGATCAGTTGGAGTTGCGCCGCATTGGGCCCCAGCATCAAGCCGGATCTGATTCACATCTCACTGGCATGGCATTCTTCAAGATTAAGGAGGTAAGTTTCTATAATACTTACATAAATAGAATAAAACCCTAAGGTAGGCTGAGCCATCCAGAAATCTCATGTCTTAGTCGTTCCAAGATTTTTACTAATAACACATTGTTAGAAGTATTTTTGACCTAAGTAGGAATTGACATGAAAAATATTTTTGAATACTTGTGATATCTTTGCGAATTGTAATCGCGTATTGTGGTAGATATTCTTCGATGACAACATTGAAAACTCGAGCGGGCATCTGTACGGATTGGGTGCGCCGTTCTTCGCCACCACCAACAACTTCCCCGACGGTGGCGATGGGAAGCCATCCTGATGCTCGGCCGCCGGGCCCAGCGGCCGCGCGGGACCCTCTCACGAGCGCAGTTTCGTCGTTACCGAATAAATACTGATTAACCATTCTATAATAATTATTTCTTCAAAACCATTGTCAGTGATTACATTTATAACATGATTAAAAATTGTAATTGTAGTTGCAAGTATATAACAATATTTAACTTTATCTTATAAGTAATATATGTGTTTACGTAGACCTTTATGTGCGCAAAAAATGATTACTTGATTACTGATAAGGAAAACTGTTTATCATTGTTGGATGTCGCTGGATATAGTAACATTGAGATTTTCGCATATTGAGATATTCAACGACTAACTCCCAAATGGAGCAACAATTCTTTTGCTAGGATTTGATTTACATATAACATCATATACCTAAGTACTACTTATTAATAAGTGGATGTTACATTTTAAGACTTTTCTCCTTTATTTGTAACCTTTAAGTAATTTGGATTATTGTCTTTAACTAGTAATATTAATTTTGTAGCTTGTATTTAAACTTTGAAAATATTCATTAAACTTATATCCAATTTCTTAGCATTTTCAGTCATAACACTCACTGTATTGTGTCTTCACACTGCTAAAGTTAAATAGGCCATGTTTTGATAAACAAGCATAAAATATAAGCCCCATTATATGTGATTTCCTCATATCCATGAATCTTTTAACTGAATTCTAACAGACAAATGTTAATGAGCAATAACACAATAACCTCAGTACAGGCACAAAAAGTACAGCACATTCGCTGCCTTGTTAAAGATTAAAATAAATTGTTATTTATAGAGGGGACATTAAAAGCGCTTTTCACATATGGATATCTCAGAAGCATAAATAATACTGTAATAACAAAGACACTTTGTTACTAGTGTTTTTATTTATATAGTCCTGTGGTTGTTGGTTATTGACCGACTTCCCAAAATGAGGAGGTACTCAATTTGTCTGTATGTTTTTTTTTTAGATGGATCAAATTAGTATTCTATACTGTCATTTTGGAGGTTATTTTTAAAGGAAAAGTCAAGCAGCATTTGGTTTGGACCCTAGAAACCCAGTTTAGATCTGTTTCCAGCGGATTCTGTATTTAATCATTTTATTTAAATCAAATCAATTTATCATTGTTAAACTCCAGAACTGTGTTCCATATTTATATTCCATATAAAGATATATAATATGTAAAGTCAAAATAATCTACACTGGGGTACCTTGGATAACTAAGGCCTAATCATCCCTATCTTAAGTATGACTCGGAGTCCCTCTCACTAGGGATCTACTGTGAATATGATTTCATCTCCTAATCTTCAGTTAGGGATGGAATAGTCTTAACATAATAGAAATAGTCTTACTTGGCGCTCGTATACAGAATAATAGAAATCTTAATTATTGTTGTTTATAATCAACGCACTGTTCAACTATGTTGTTAGTTTATGATACAATAATGAGTACACACAGTAATTTCCTTAATACGTATGTGAATATAAAATTAACGTCAAGAAGGCCATACTTCCAGGTGCACAAATACGTTACAATAAAGGTTCAGTCACTGCAATTGAAATACGAAATAAAACAACTTTCAGCAAAATATTTTTAAGTCAATTAGTATATAACATTTTTTTTTAATTACAAATCTAAAAATATGCTTCGCCTTGAGAGTTAGGGAATTTCTTGATTAACAAATGGTAACAAATTCTGTTTTCAGAAGACACAAGATGATTCACATTTTCAAATGTAATTACTGGACCCCTTACTTCTTCTCAGCGATAAAAATATCTCCCACTTAAAAAAAAACTCTCTTGCATTACTTTTAAACGCTTTCAACACTTTATTTCGTGGAATAATATTAAAATGCTACACTAAATGCGTAGAGTAATGACGCGAAATGAACTGACAAGCTATGTCACTATTACCATATTGCTCTAACATTAAATGTCACTTCTTATTGCCGGGTGCCAAAAGAATGTACATCTATATCATATTTAGACAAACTATAGTTTGACAATTCATGTGACTTACGTAATAAGCAAATTACTGTGTGAACTCAGAAATATCTGATGATTGATGATTTTATACCACATTGTTTCGTTCAAACCACGGGCGTACCATATAGTTTGAACTGTGCGTTGATTGTAAACAAAAATCATTAAGATTTCTATTATTCTCTAGATTTTCTAGTTACATTGTAAGGTTCAAGTACTTCCTTCAGAATTTGCATTTTGGTTTTCTTAACGGAAGGATTTTCCTTAAATGTGGAAACATGACTGCAGGACAACAGTGTGAAAATTAATTGCGTACAATTTCTTGCATTATCTCATATTCACAATTATTAAAATAATATGTTTTAATTGAAATAACCAAGTCTATCTTGAAGAGTATAATTCGCAGAATCTATCATAATGTTGACTGGCGACACTCGCTTAAGGTAAAGTATAGTATAGAGCATTATTTCATTTCTATATGTGTCAAAATAAGATTTGACTTTGACATTTTCTGTACGGTAATGACATCTGACTTTTCGTGCAAGTCTAGAAATATGAATTTTAATGTTACACTATAGCGGTTGCCCGCGATTCAGTACCGGTTTTAGCGCTATTACATGACCTAAAAGGAATACAAATGAAAGACGAATAGATTCAAATGCACATTTATTTATGTCCAGAAAAAATCACAATAGTAAAAGCTGTTAAAACTTTAATAAAAAATGGGTCTTGATTATTAAAAACATACAAAGATCAAAACGAATATTAAAAATAATTTCCTACCTAGATTTCTGCTCAAAAGTTTCCAATTTTGTGTCTTTTACTAATATAGTGAATGTCAAAAATATAAAAACAGAAGGATACAAATCATTTAAGGTGCATTGTAATCTAAAGTGCCATTTTATCTTTATTATATACACTTGTAAGAACTCTACCACTACATTATGCAATACAAGTTATAGTTAAATAAGGATTAAAATAAATTTGTTCATTATACTCATATCAATTGATGTTTGCAACACTTGTATACTATCTGGTTGACTACATTTGTAATATAAAGAAAGTTGTCATCAACCAAAGATAAGCAATTGATGATTTCATATACATAAATAAATAAAACATTATGCTTTCCCCACATTGAACATAGCTTTTGTCGAAATTTAAACTAAATAGAATTCAGTTAATAGTAAAATTAAATAACAAAACATATGTACAAATTAGCAATAAATAATTACAAAATATACCATAAAAATTAAAATAAGCTGCCTTTTTTCTCAAATCAAGTTGACAGAATAATTAATATCTATTTACTTTCCACTGATACTTTAGGGTCCAAAAATGATAGTTAATCTATCCATAACTTGGGACCGCAAAGAAGAAATTTTGACTAAGCTTGAAATCGCACTACAAAACCTATGTTTAATATAATAAAAATTAAATGTTAATCAAACTCAAAAGTAATGTCAAATATGGAACAAATATTAAACTTATAGGTTATATAGATTAACCATGATTGTAGGATCTTATCTTACCTAGGATTGATAAAACGCACAATCACCTTGATTTTGTAAAGTTTACAAATCAATCCGAAATTCAATATACCAATAATAAAAAAATAATGAAAGCTTACAAAATGAATGTCGAAGTCAGAGGAAGTAGTGATGTTACATTGTCGAAAAGATTGAGAAAATATAAGAGAGATACTGGTGAATATTACTAAAATTAATTTTAGTTAATAACAAATATTACTTATGAAGTTATAATTTGTGTACTGGTTTAATTAATTTAAAGACAAAATGTATATATAGATGTGTGCGCAAATCAGAAGTTTTCATCTGTTAATTCAATATTTACTAAACATTTGAATGGGGTCAGGGAACTAACAAAAACATATTAAATGCAATACCTCAATATATCTAAAATGTGACTATCTCTAAGTTTCCATGTGTGTTGTAATACTTTTAAATATAGCAGTGATCATTTGATGTGTTAGAATTACTGTGATGTATTTTTGTCGCAAATCTAAACTGCTATTTACTAATGCTCAAAAACTTAATTGATTATCTTCTAATACAAAATTGTTTATTCGAATATTGAAACATCACATTCCAATGGTTCCTAAAGAAAAGCTAAACATAGTTTACATGTTTGTCGATATGACTGATCCAGTGTTCACACGAAAAACTACTATTATGACATTGAAAATTGATTACATAAACCGCAGATCGATTCGACAGTAATCTTTCAATTGCATGAATGATCTTTGAGCTTAATCTTCTTAATAAGGGGTTTTTCCGGGTTTGGTTATGTTTAGCATGTATCAATTGAGCTGTCTCATATGGAAAGGTATAAACAATCTTGTATCCAACACAGTATCACATATTACTATATCGTATTAACCCTTTTGTATATTTATTAGCATTTATTTTTAATGCATCCAAATATAGTTTGTTAAAATGTAAACTCAAGATCCGAATGTAAATTGTTAATTGAAATTGGCTAATCCTATTTGAAGTTAAAAGTACAAGACGCTATCGAATGTTATTATAAAGCTTTATGCTTATACAAGTCGGTATACTTTAATCATAAACACCCATTTTAAAGAATCACTTCGAAATTGAATTAATATTATTGGTATATATCGCTAAAACTACTTTACTTTGCTACATGTAAACTTGTTATTTTAAACAGTCAAAGTTAACAAGTTTATTCAGTGTTGTCAGAGTCAAATTCCCTATATTTAAGGTTCATAATCGGGTTTAAAAAGTAAGCGATCAAATTTTTCTAACTATAATATGATCCGCTTGTACATAAAAAGTGTCGAGAAAATTATGCTGCGAGAAGACATTTTCATTGGCAATGAAGACATTTTTTTGACAATTACATGTTGTAAGCGATGTATATGGCATCTATCTGGTCGGATAGAAAGCCGTCGCGAAGGTGCATGCGCTGCTTCTCTCCACGCGAGTTGATCGGCACCACGCCGGGGTCCACGACTACCACAACGCCGACGATTAAGTGGTGTTCCTCCAGCACCGTGTTGGTGACCAGCGGCACCAGGTTCAGGGCCTCGCTGTCGTTACCGTCCAGTTCCACCACCACCACCAGCAGGTTGGTCCAAGTGAACACGGCGCTGAAAACAACACAATGATTACCCTCCTCTTTCTTTGTTTGCATCGGTAGAACAAAGATGGAACTGCACTTCCAAACTATGTAACGGCGACTATTATACCTAAGAACTATCACTAGTTAGCAGTTTTTGATTAATACCATTTAAATAACGAACCAGTTAAAAAAAAACATTTAACTATACGCACCATTCGGCTATTTTCTTGTGGCATCTCATGACAGAGTTTTCAATGTCGATGGGATGATATCGCATACCGCGAAGCATGATTGTTTCGTCGAGCGCGCCGACCACGAACACCGCGTCGTGAGTATCGTGCGTGTCC